ATTCATCCTTTACTTGTCACATATTTAGAGGGAAGACATTCAAACTAGCACCTTAAATGTTTTCTCAAGTATAGATTTTTTTTTTACTTTTTAAAAGTTTTTCTTTTATACTGATATATTTACAAAGTATGTGTACATTGTTTTTCACACCAGATCTTTCCCATTTCCTTCACCCACAACCCACCCATCAAATTGTGCAAGCCTATGATATGTGCACCCCACACCCACCCATCCTCACCTCTCTGCTTCTTCTTTCCTGTGATGTTAAAGTTTTCTCAAGGGTTCTGACCCTGGCTCTGTCTGGCTTCATCAGGATATGCCTTGCCAGAGTCTCTCTATTGTCTTGTTTGCTCTCTCTCTTATGTTGGTCTCACAGCTGTTGATGATGTTAAGGACACTGATCTGCTACATGTGTGCAGTTGAGGCAGCTAATGACTACAACCCCAGGGGAGCTAGGGTGTGAAAGGTGAAGATTCAAAAATTCATTTCACTTACACCTCACCTGGCTGTGTGGTTGGGTCTAAGACAATGGATAGAAAAGCCATTCTTCTTTTAAAAAAAATAACAATCTTAACACCACAACAGTTGACAAATGTCTCAAAATCCAAACAAATAATAAAATATCTTCATTAATGAACTGTTTGACATACTGTTTTTAATTCCTTTTTTTATGTATTTTACTTCAGATTTATTGACTCCTTTTTCACATAATTTTATAACAATTTCTATAAAATACATAGAGAAATCATTTTTCATTTGACTGATTAAAAATTTATAAGCAAGATGCATATAATGCTTGATTCCATAGGCAAACAACTTGGTTGTTTATAGTATGGCTACATAAAAATGTATAGTATGGCTACTATAAAAATTTTTATAAACTAGTTTCTTTACAACTGTATACAATGCACTATCTACCATATTCCTGACAGGAGACACCTTCCATTTTGAATTGGCAAAAATACCTAATTCTCCACTTATGATTGTGCATTTTGAATGATGTGAGCACAGACTAATTTCTCATCTCATACAACCCAAAAATGGTGTCCTCTCTGCTTCACACTGAGTTCTAATGGCATTGGCGTCATGTTCCACAGCCTCTGGTTTGCCCCTTTGTATCAGAATATCTGGTGAGTTGGCACAGAGTAGTAGAAGTATTCTCAGAAGTCTCTCTACACTAGAACAACTAGCAGAAATTTAACTATGGATGGAAGTGGCTGCAAATCACACAAATGTCCTGTTAAATTCAAACCAAATGTATTTCCAGCGCAGTTCCCTCTAAATCCTCAAGACGCTCACGGCCACTCCAACGCCACTCATTAGGGGATGTGTGACAGTAGGGAATTCTGAGTGGAAATAGGCCTTCCCACGTTGTGGTAAAATATCTTCCTTTCAAAAATTTTTTTTTAATTTTTTTATTATTCCTTTTAATGAACACAAATAATTTTTTAAAAATCACCTCACTCTGATTTTTAAGCCAGGGTCCTTCTCAGAGCCTATACATGGCTTATTCAAGTAAGAACCCTGAAGCTTATGCTAGGAAACTAGACACACTATTATAATTCTCCAAAAGAGGGAGAATGCAGGGATTGGGGAGAAGTTATACAGTCCTCTACATTAGCTTGCTTTGCTGCTATGAGATGGAAAAGGACAGCATATTTAACTCCTCTTTTGGAAAAACTTGCCCAATCCTATATCAAACCCAAAAAGTCTGGTTCACTTTATTTTCTTAATTTGAGTAAACTTCTCAAGAAGTTAGGCATGGGGTGGCGCTCTCATGATGATGCCACGTCAGGACCAGCATTAGTCTCTGGGACTGAGTGGCAAACGGCTTGCCCAGCCTCCTCTGTCTCCAGCAGGAGAACATAGTGCTGGAAGAGGATTCCATGCAATGGGGTTTTTGGATCCTCATATTTTTTTTCAGCAAATTTTTTTTTTTAGGAGAGTGTGGAAACTATAGAAATAGCAGCCTTACTTCATAAAGTGAATAGTCTCTTGGAGCCAGAAAACATCATAGTTAAGGAAACAACTAATTTATTCAACCTACAGCAATATAAGATGATCTCATCTTGTATGTTAAAAGAGTTCAGATGAAATAAGTTTTTTGGAACGAGAACTATCTCTATTTAGAACATTTGATTAACATGATGTTTTAAATATTTCTCATGGGGTTTGTTGCATAAGAGTTACATACCTTTAAAAATATGTTATTTCTTTTTAATAAGATTGCTTAACACAGACTGTACTTTTCAGTTATCAGATTATGGAGAAAAGGAGGAATGTAGAGTTCAGAAGTATTTTTTAAAGATTACTGTTAGATTGATCTTGGCAATTCTTTACTGTAGGCCATCCTTTTTATCTTAAAGTGTTTTTAAAGCTAATAAAAAGATATAAGGCAGTTAAAACTAAGTGATTCTTTTGGAAGGAAAATTTTTAAATCAAGTATTTGCTCAGAACTATGTAACAAGGAGTATTCTAAGCATTTAAGATAGTTATATAAGTGAACAAAATTTTCAAAATTTTTGCTCTCATAGAATAGATAAACAAATTAACTTGGATCAGGGAAAGACAATGTATAATAAGGGGAAAGTCAGCACAAAATGATCAAAGCAAAGGAAAACTTTGAGTTAAAGGTTAATACTATTGTATGTACAATCCTGCAATTACAGTAATAATAATTTGTGAGTAGATACGTAGAAACATATGTGAACAAAAGTAGGAAAGTGCGTAGAACTATACCCACAGATATGGCAAGAAGCTGTGCTGCAATCCCAAAGGCACACAGTTTGAGGCCACCACCAGCTGCTTCACGGGAGAAGGATGGGTAATCTCCTCCCATGAGATTAACTGCTTCTGAAAACCCACCGGAGGGTCTGCTATGGGTCAGTTCCAACTCGAAAGTAAACAACTACATAACACATCCTTCACCAAAAAATATATGGAAATAATCCAAAAGACTAAGGAACCACATGAACCCATCCTCAAGGACTCTGAAACCAGAAAAACTAGACTGTGCCCAGCTAACAATGCTGACACTCTGAATCACAATAGATCACAATAGAAAGTTGTGGATAAAGTAGGGGGGAAATGGAGAATAACAGTCAAGCATAAAACAGACTATACTCAATGACGTGATATTCTGCTGGGACCCCTGAGACCATAGCTCTTAGTTACCCTTCTGCCTGAAACCAAACAAACCTCTTTGGCTCACTTTCAGCCCAACAATGTTGTGGTTGCTAGACTCTGTTACATTGGTTCAAAGTCCTAGTGACCCTTTGTAAAACAGAACTAAGCATTGTCAGATCCAGTGCCATCCTCACAGTTTCTGCTGTGTTTAAACTCATTGTTTCATTCTTTCTCATTGAGGATGTTCTTCTCTTTTAATGACCTTCTATTTCTCCAAACACAATGTCCTTTTTAAGGGATGGGCCCTTTCTGAAAAAATGCTCAAATACGGTATGACGTTTCATCATCCTTTCCTCTAAGAAGCATTCTGACTGAATTTGTTCATATTTATTCCTTCTTGTAGCAAAACGTGATATGTTTGTGTTCTTCACTAGCACCACACTTCAGAGGCATCAGTTCTTCTTTAATTTCCCTTATTAATTGGACAACTTTCACAAGTGAAGCATGGCAGTGTGTGAGAAATAAGAACTTTATTTTCTTTTCCAAAGAAAAGATAAGAAAATTCTGAATAAGAAAGAATCTGCCTTGACCTGTAATCCCCTTACCACACCCTCTTCACATTTGCTAGAGTCAGCTCATTGGGTCTGCAAGCCTTACAACTGGGTAGGGTCATGACCATTGAAAGGGTTCCACTGGGACAGTTGTTCACCTTTTTAAAATGGCTTTTATCTGAAAATGGGAAGTTGAATATCTACTAAATAAGTGTTATTGTAATAATGAAATAGAATGTCTATTCAGAGCTCAATTTTAAACATGTAGTGATGTCTCAATAATAGTCATTTATTATTACAGTAATTTTTTGCCTTTGGAAACTTTTGTTGTTGTTGTTGATAATGATGATTGTCGTCGAGTCGAGCACAACTCATAGTGACCATGTGAACAAAAGGCCTGAGGCCTTTCTATAACTATCATCATTTGTCAAAGTTCATAGAATTTCCAGAGGCATGTTGTTTAGGAAGTGGATGCTACCCCTGCTTCCAATTTTAAGCTTAACAAATAAAAATTTTTAAAGGCTGCTTTAAAAATCTTGTTACAAACGTAAGTGCCCATCAACAAACGAATGGAGAAGCTGTGGTATATTCACACAGTGGAATACTATGCATTGAAAAACAAGCAACTCATGCAATATTATTCAAAATGGGTGACTCTGGAGGACATTGTGCTGAGTGAAGTATCTCAGTCACAAAAGGACACATACTGCATGGTGCCACTGTTGTAATGCAGGACTGACCTCGGGGTTGGGAAGAGACTGAGAAGGATGGGTTCAATAATGTATACTGCATTGAAACAAATGAGGGAGAAAACTGTTTAAGAGGGAAAATTATTAGGGATTTTTCTCAATACAGGAGTCCAGAGCGAAGGCTGTATAGTGGAGTGAACTTTGGGGGAGGGATTGCAAAACAATGAAAGAATTTTTCTTTTACTTTTCCAAGAGGGTAGTGTACTAGAGGGGAGGGTTGGGAGAGGAGAAGAGTGCAACAATGAATGAATGGAAATCCAAAGTCTCTGTAAATTTTCATTGAAATTAATAATAAATTTAAGAAAAAATCTTGTTGCAGGACTCTTCCATAATTATTTGACTGTCCTAGTGTTAGATAGGTAATCTTCAGTTTTTCGGTGTTCTAACTAAAACTCCAATCTTGGTGCTTGAGTCTCTCTTCATCTGGGATTTTTCCTTAAAACAGCCTCCAAGAGGTAGAGTTATTAAATCAGGGTAGAGAACTTTCTAGGATGATGCCACAAACATTAGAAGAATGACAGACCCCTTTCTAATGTTTAAACTTTTTATTTCCTAGATGCATCTGGTGGTGAAGAAGAAGAAGAACAGGGAAGTACAGAAATGATGCAGCAGGAGAGCGCTCCAATTCCTGCTCTTTCAAAGGAAACTGAACAGGTGACAGTCATGATGGGAGACTCATAGTGGGGTTGGCTTCTGAAATGACTCTCTTAATCCTCTTGTGTCTCTGTGTGCTGTTGAGAAAAATCTACTTTATAGAAACCACAAAAAACAGAATAGAACTGCCCTAAATGGTTTCCTAGGCTGTAATCATTATAGCAAAGTATTACAATTAATTCTTTAAAGCAGAGTGTTTTAATGAAATGTGCAAAGAGCTAGAGTTGGAAAATCTGCAGGGTCAAACTCACTCAGCATTTCTTAAGCTGAAGAAACTGAAGAACAAATTCAAGCCTCAAGTTGCAATACTTAAGGATGCTGTGGGCAGAATATTGAATGATCCTGGAAGCATCAAAAGAACATGGAAGGAGTATACAGAAGCACTGCACCAAAAAGAACAGGCTGACACAGAAGTGTTTCATGAAACAACTTATCTTCAAGAGGCACTGGTGATGAAGGAGGAAGTTCAAGCTGCTCTGAAGGAATTAGCAAAAAACAGGGCCCCAGAAGTTGATGGAATATCAGTTGACATATTTCAACAAATAGATGCTTCCCCAGATATGCTCACCAGGCTGTGCCAAGAAGTCTGTAGGACACACACCTAGCCAACTGACTTGAAGATATCTATATTTGTTCCCATTCCAAAAGAGGTGATCCAACAGGGTATAGAAATTATCAAACGATATCACTAATATCACACACAAGCAAAGATTATCCAAAAGAGATTGGAACAGTACATCATTAGAGAAATACCAGAAATACAAGCTGGATTTAGAAGAGGCCATAGCAGTGGGGACTTCAGTGCCAAAGTCAGAAAAGTCTTGGCCAAAAGCAGAGGGTACCGAAGAAATGTCTATCTATGTTTCATTGACTAAGCAAAAACATTTGACTGTGTGTATCACAATAAATTATGCCTAACCTTGAGAAGAATGGGAATCCCAGAGTACCTGATTGTGCTCATGTGAAACCTTTACTTGGTCCAGGAACAGTCCTCAGAACAAAGCAAGGGAGTACTCCATGACTCAGAACCAGAAAAGGAATGTGTCAGGGATGTGTCCTGTCTCCAGACCTTTTCAATCATATGCAGAACAAATCCTTCAAGAGTCTAGATTTTATGAGGAGGAATGTGGCATTAGGATTGCAGAAGACTCATCAGCAACTACTTGCAGAAACTGAGGAGGACCTGAAAACATCTGCTGTAGAGGGCCAAGGACTATAGTTTGCAATATAGATGAAGTTCAGCATCAAGAAAACAGAGATTCACAACACAGGGCCAATTGGCAGCATCATGCCAGTGGAGAAGAGATTGAGATTGTTAATAATTTCAGCTTGCTCAGTTCAGCAGTCAACGCTTTTGGTACCAGCAGTCAAGAAATCAAAAGTCAAATTGCATTAGGAAAATCTACTGTCAGGGACCTCTTCACAGTGCTGAAGAGCAAGGATATCAGTCTAGAGACTAAGGTGCACCTGCTCCAGGAATTAGTCTTTGTAAATATTTGCTATGAATCCGCGAGCTGGATAATGGCCTTGGATGACAGAAGAATTGATGCCTTTGAATTGTGGTGATGAAGAAGAGTGATGCACATACCATAGACTGCCAAGAGAACTAACAGGCCAGCCTTGGAGAGGGTGAAACCAACATGCTCCTTGAAGGCAAGGATTTTGAAACTCTATCTCATATACTTTGGTCATATAGCCAGGAGGGATCAGTCTTTGGAGAAGGATATCCTGCTTTGCAGCATGGAGGGAACAGTGCACGAAAAGACAACCTGGATGAGATGGATTGACACTGGAGTAATGAGGGTAGGTGTTTCAGAGACAGTGAGATTGGCTCAGGATAGAGCAGGGTTCAGAGCTATTAGGCATAGGGTTGCTATAAGATGTAGTCAACTCGATGGTACATATCAACAACAACAATCTTTACAGAAGTGAATTTCCAGAGCTTTTCTTTCTTTGACCAACTCATGGGTACGAGGCCCAGCCTTTTGGTTAGCAGTTGGGTGTTTAACCTCTGGACCACCAGAGCTCCTTTTACCCCTTTGTTGTTGTTGTTGATTGCCTTCGAATCGAGCACGATTCATAGTGACCCTATGAAGAGAAGACCTTTACAGCACTAGATTTCCTTTTAAGTATGTAGGTATATGGTAAAGAATTGCACTGCCAACACAAAGGTATGCTGTTTAAATCTACCAGCTGCTCCGCACAAGAAAAATAGGCACCCTCCTTTAGTGAGATATACCGCCTCTGAAAACCCTCTGAAGAGTCAACTCTGGACCCGTTCAGACTGGATGGTATACAACACCCCTACCACACAGATAGATATTAATGATATCTTGGATTTCTGTACCGAATCTCCCCCCTTTTGTATTCTTTTCGCTAAAGTTTCAGGAAAGGGACAATTAGCAAAGATATGCAAGATTATCCCCTGCATGAACAGTGTCACCCTACCCTGTCCGAGGGCTCCTGGTGCTTGTTTTCACCAGTCATTATGGTCTTTTGTGTGCAGAATTATCACAGGATTTGTTGCTTCCATGTTTCTATAAGTGGGCACTTGGATATATTTTGCTATAGTTGGGGCCTTTTTGCCTTTTTTTTTAAAAAAAGTTAAGGTTTCCCCCCCATATATATTGTGTTTTGTACAATCTTTCATTTACGTTGTGGGGGTTCCCCCCCTTAAAATCATCTTACTAATAACTACATTCATTTTACCTTGTAAGCTAGCTACTTCATGCCTTTTTATTCATCTTCCAACTGGTCTTTGGGAACTGATGCCTTTGAATTCTGGCGTTGGCAAAGAATTTTGCGTATACTATGAACTGCCAAAAGAAAAAACAAATCTCTCTTGGAAAAAGTGCAGCTAGAGTGCTCCTTAGAGGCTAGTCGGGTGATATTTCATCTCTCAGACTTTGGGCATGTTGTCAGGAGGGGCCGCTCCCTGGGAAATTACATCATGCCTAGCAAAGCAGAAGGTCAGTGAAGGAGAGAAAGGCTCTCCGTGGGAGAGAGTGACAGTGAGACAGACTGACTGAAGCAATGGGCTTGTGCAGAGCAGAGACAGGGAGGATGGCACAGGATCGGGCTGGGTTTTGTTCCGTGGTACTTAGCCATCACTGGGAGCTGAAGCCAACTCAGCCACAGCTACCGGCAACACTGGACTTTAAAGCGCTGCTCACATTCATTTGCTGCTTCTGGTGGATCAATCTATGCTATCACTGTTTTGTTTTCTAAGGATCATTGACTGATTGTCAGAAGTTTTTATCTTTGTCACAGTGGGAAGTGGTCTTATTCTCACTGTAGCCCTAAACTTGTTCCTCTAATGAGTCGCTTTACACAAAGTTTGTGGGCACGCTAAAAGCATTTGTGATCTTTGTCAAACTATGCTCCATGCCTCAAAGTCACTTGAAAAGCAGTGTTAATTGCTGTACGTCTTTGTGGATTAAGTGAGTTAATATACCTTCAGGACTTCAGATAGTGAGTGGTTGATAGAGTGTGTATTAAAGTACTAATTATTACAGTAAAATGACCTCACTCTTTTTTATTCTGTTCATTTTTTCCCCCTTTAACAGAAACAGAATATAGAAAGGGGTTAAATATTTTTTCTCTCCAGGCATTGAACATTTTATTCAAAAGCCCAAATCCACATGTAATTTTAACCATTATTTCATATTCCTACAGGTTTACATCCATAGATTTTTCAATTTATTTCCTCAAGAAGAGGTTTCACTTACCCACCACACAAACCAGGAGGCGTGTCTTGTGTGACCTTTGCCCTTCATCAGTGCCTACGTGAAGAACTTATATCCAAATAGTCTTCTTCATGCACAACTTTCTTTCGTTTTCTTTTCCGTATTTCCTTTTTTTTTCTTCTTGCCTTCTCATCACTTTTGTGAACCAATAATGAAAGAACAGATTTGCATTAATAAGTTCACCTGAGCCTACCTCTTTGCTGGTATTTTTATTGATGGAGCCATCAGCACTGCTAAGGTTTCTATCCCTTTTGTACCTTCTCCCTCCTTGGCTTTTCTTTTCTGACAACCCTCAAGGCATAGAACCGTAAGAAGCAGAAGAAAAAGCAGAGAAGAGAGTTAAATGGATTCATTTCTGTGACCATTCACCTGTTGTTGTTGTTATGTGCTGTCGAGTCGCATGTGATTCATAGCAATCCTTTGTACAACAGACCTGAACCCTGCTCTATCCTGGGCCAACCTTTTTGTCTCTGACACAACTACCACTATTACCTCAGCCACTGAATCAATCCATCTTATCAAGGGTCTTCCTCTCTTATGCTGTCCCTCCACCCTCCTAAGCATGACATCCCTCTCTGAGGACTGGTCCCTCCTTGTAACCAGGGACCAGTATGTCCAAAGTATGTCAGACAAAACCTCAGAATCCTTGTTTCCCAGGAACAGCCTGGTTTCACCCTATCAACACTCTTCTCTAGCACCACATCTCAAAGGCATCCATTTTCCTTCTATCATCCTTAGTCACTGTCCAGCTTTCTGATGCATAGCAAGTGATTGTGAAGTCTGTGGCCTGGATCAGAAATACTTAAGTCTCCAGACTGACATCAGTGCTCTTCAGTACTTTGGAAATGTCCCTGACTTTCCCAATTCAAGTCATCTTTTAATTTCCTGATTGTGGAGCCAAGCAAACTAAAGCTGTTAACAGTCTCAGTCTCTTCACTAACTTTATGTTGCCAATCGACCCAGTAGTGAGAATCTTTGTTTTCTTTTGTTGTTGTTGTGTCCCATTGAATTGGATCCAACTGGCACAGGAGAAAATTGTCCCTCCTAAAGTGGAGCACCTCGTGGATTCGAACTGCACGCTTTCAGGATTACAGGGTAGTGTCTTGCCTCTAGGCCACCAGAGCTTCCTAGAATCTTTGTTTTCTTGATGTTGAGCATCAATCTATATTGAAGGCTGTAGTCCTTGACCTTCTACAGCAAGCGCTTCAGGTCCTTCTCAGTTTCAGCAAAGTTGTGTCATCCATATAACGCAGG